AGTTCCTCATGTTGTGGTGACCCCCAATTTCATTGTTACAAATTGAACATAATTAAAGCATAGTGATTAATCACAAAAAATGTGTAATTATATATGTGTTTTCTGATGGTCTTAGGTGACCCCTGTGAAAGGATCGTTCGACCCCCAAAGGGGTCTCGACCCACAGGTTGAGAACCGCTGTTCTAGGGGAAGGCAGTTGCATGTGCAATACTTGGGAGTGTTGGAATTCAGCTTCCCTCTCCTCGGTCACTGTCCAAGACACACACTGTACAACCACACATTGTGGCCCTGATTTATTTCCGCTGGCTTCTTATTAATTAACTTTGGTAGGATCCTCATTAAAATTGTTGCTAGAATCATGAACTAAACGTGGAGAACCGGTTTTGCTCACTCTTCACTCATTTTGACAAGGGGCCCAGCATCTCTCCTCAGCAATCTGATGTTCTCATGTTATGAGGGCTATTACCACTCCCATTACCATGTTCTGGCAGACTCTATCATCTACTTTCTGAATCTTTATCTCTGACAATTGAAATAAATGATATTACATTTTGTTTAAATAATTAGTAAAGTGTGGGGTTTAGGAGTTGAAAGAATGCTACCTTTTATTTTCTTCTATTCATTTTTGCTCAGCAAAAAAGCTTTAAAAAGTTAGCAAAGAGCAACTTTGAAAAGCCTATTATGTAAATAAAAAAGGAAAAATAACTTGTTTTAGTGTATATTTTCATTGCAGTTAACTTACAAAATGGCAAAGAAATAAAAATTCTCAGATAGTTCATCACTCAGATATAACTACTATTAAAAATTATGTTGCCCAGCTAGGGTGGCTCAGTGGTTGAGCATTGACCCATGAACCAAGAGGTCGTTGGTTTGATTCCCAGTCAGGGCACGTGCCTGGGTTGCGGGCTCAAAAACTAGTAAGGAGGAGTGGTGTAGAAGGCAGCCAATATGGATGTTTCTCCCTCATCGATGTTTCTATCTCTCTCTCTCCCTCTCTCCAAATCAATAAATATATTCAAGCAAACAAACAAAAAAAACCCAATAGTCAATTGTGCTGTGAAGGCTTGGAGAGGGGGTGGGAGCAGGTGGAGAGGGTCAATGGGGGGAAAAGGGGAGACATCTGTAATGCTTTTGACAATAAAGACAAATTTTAAAAAGCATAATAAAATAGAAAACAAAAACAAAGAAAAATCTGCTACTTTATCATGTCAACTGATGGTAGATGGCACCAATTCAATGCCAACAGGAATCCCCAATTTTGGGTGTGGTGAAGAAAGAAACTATTCAGTGCAAACAGCTTAACAGTGCTACAGCACACGGCTGTGCAAACAGCATGCCATGGAACTGCTCTGGGATCAGGCAGTGTTGGGGCCAGGCCCTCAGGCAAGGCAGCTCAGCTTTGCTCCACTCTGACGGATGGTCTGCTCTGGCCTGACCTGGAGAGACATCTTCGGCGTTTCATTCAGCTCTAGCCAGGGGAATGCAGTCTCTGGTCTTCTGGGAAGTGTGTTCCCCAAGCTGGCTTACTTTCACAGAAGTCCTTGCCCCAGTCCCTAGTTTGTCCATTCCCATGCACACGAGGACTGCAAATCTTGCTTAATTGGTCCAAAGGCACTGTCCTGATTGGTCAGAATAGAGCCCCCTCTGGTTGGTTGGAGCTGTGCTGCTCCAATTGGGTGGGGTAACCTCAGTCCTATTGGTTGAAACAGGACTCCAGAAACTCCTTTATAAGGGCTGGCTTTCTGGCAGAACACAGTGCAGGTTCAGTGTGGAGGCAGGCAGTTTGTGTGAGAGGACCCAGTGCGAGATGGCTCCTAGGCTTTGCCTTTTTTTTTTTAAGCCTAATTATCCACCATGAGCCTTAAAGGTTTTTTTTTTTTTTTCTTTCAGGGTTCACAATCAGCACTAACACTGTTATGTAACCCTGTTTTAAGGCTATTCACTTGTGGTGTATAGACCCAAAGTAGGATACAGTTCCTATCAGTCTTAATTGGTCTTTTGGTTTCCATAATGATTCCATTATCTACTTGTTCAACCTAGCTTCCTCAGCTGTCCATGCATACAACCCTTCCAGAATTCCTCTAGGTTCTTGACTTCTAGGGAAGAAAGCTATTTCCTCTTAGAACCCATGCTAAGTTCAAAGTGCATTAAATTTATAACTGCTTCCTTAGTGGAATGGTAATCAGATCCCACATATATGGAAAATTCTTTCATGTTGTGTCCCTCCCCTCTTCATCCTGAGTGTAGGTCTCAAAGTCTCAATTAACTTGATTCCTTTAAATAGCAGCTCAGAACAATCTGAGTTCCAGCTTTCCAGGATGTGCAATCTTGGGCTCGTCATATAAAGCATGGCCATAAACCAAGCCTTAGTGAACAAGAAAAACATCAGAGATTAGTTAAGTGCTGAACACAATGTTTAAAAAGGGGGGTATGATATAAAATGATAGGATGGTTACTTCAGATTGTGGGCCTGAATATGATCATGGCCTCTGAGGAGGTGATAGACTGATACCTGAATGGAAGAATAAGCCTAGAGTGGAGACAGGAAGAGGGGCGATGGGAGAGAAGTCCAAATAGAGGTTAGGGCAAAACCATGTTTGAGATGGATGAAATGAGATTATGCATGTAAGAGTGCAATATAATGTTTGGTGAAGGGAGTGGGGAGAAGAGAGGGAGAGAGAGATAAGTGAGGGAGTGAGGGAGGCATGTAGAGAAGAAATGAAATGTGGGGGGAAGGAGGGAATGACAATCCTGAACCCATGTAGGCTGTGCTCTGTAGGGGAACTTCTCCTCCTCTTACCTTGGACTGCATTTTCTCTTTTCTTTCTGAAGGTTCTTCTCAGTTGCAATTACTACTTGGTCCTGTTCCATTTATAATAAATACGTAGAGCTACTATTTATTCAGAGCTTAAGTGAATCAGATTCATTAGAGGTTTTATGCATGTTTTCATTTAATCCTTACAACAACCTGAGGCAGGTTATTATCCTTATATGCTTCTCTATGGGTGAGAGAGCCTAGGTAACTAGAGAAAGATGAAACATCTAGTAGTGGTAGAGCCAACATTCAAACCTAGGCTTGTCTGACTTCATATCACGTTTTCCACAGCTCCGCTGCTCTGCTGTGCACTTCAACTTCTCCTGGACAGTTTCTACATTAGTAACACTCCATTCAGTTCATCTGGTTCCTCATTTCTTACCTATCCCTGTGACAGAACGCTTAGTTTCATCTGCTAGCCAGATGTAGACATAAGAATTTTTCTTACAGACACAGTCTCTCTAACTTAGGAAAAGTATCTTAATACAGGAATTAGAGCACAGGCTTTGAAATTGTGTGCGCCAGTATGGAATCCAGGTTCTGACACTTTCTCTGTGACCTTGGGCAAATCATGTAGTTTGAGCCTCATCTTCCCCATCTGAAATCTAAGAATATTATTTCTCTGGAGAGCTGAGTGAGAATTAAAAGACAGAATTTAAGGAAAGTTCCTAGAATGGTATGTGACAATGGCAGGTGCGAAGTAAAGGGCTGCTTAAGAAACAAAAACAAACTCTTCATTTTACAGATAAGGGAAGCTGATTTGGAAATGTCTTGCTGGGAGAACAGATGTTTTACTTTCTCTATCCAATTTCCACGATTCTAGTATTCCATAATGCAAGTTCACTGGAACTGCTAAAGCTATTCTGTTATATGAGGTCCTAAACAATGTCTATTCAGACAGAAAGATATTTTTTTTCCCTGAGTTACAGAGAAAGAGATAATCCGCCTCAGTTCTAGAACTGCAAACAGGAATAATAATACCTTTACTATAGGGCTGTGAGGATCAAATGTAATAAGACATGTGAAAGTGTTTTAACAGATACAAAATGCTTCATAAATTTTTTTGTGAATTTTAAAAAACTGAATTTCTTGGGTCGGCATTGGTTAATAAAATGATATAGTTTTTAGGTATACAAATCTATAAGATATCGTCTATATATTGTATTGTATATTTACCACCCCAAGTCAAATCTCCTCTTATCATTAAACTAGAGGGCTGGTGCATGAAATTCATGCATGGGTAGGCCTGGCTGGCGATCAGGGCCAATCTATGGGGCGACCAGCAGGGGAGAGGGGGCGGGGGACCCTGCTGGTACCCCCTTGGCTAGCCTGGGGCCTGTGGGCTGGGGGCAGCACTTGCATTGAGCGTCTGCCCCCTGGTGGTCAGTGCACATCATGGCGACCATTCTGCCATTCGGTCAATTTGCTTATTAGGCTTTTATTATATTGGACATTTTCACTAAATGGCATAAACGAAATGTAGGTGAAATAGAATGATTAGAACGTTATAAGATATAATGAATTGAAAGGACTTTGGAAAATTGGAGAATAGATCAGACACAAGAGAATTTAACTCAAAAGAAATAAACATAGGGCATTTAAAGAAGAGCAGCAAGTGACTTGAAAATAATATGTTTACTAAAAATGCAAATAAAATTGAAGACTGCTTATTATATTTTTACACAACTGGAAAATATGTAGACAACATTTTTTTTAAAAAATGCTAAGGATTGCATTTACTAAGATCAGGTTAAATTTATCATCAAGGGTGAGAACTGCTCTGTCGGAGTGGTGTTGGGATAGTGGCTGAAATAACACCAGGAGGCCTAGTCTTTGGACAAAGGTTAAATACTGCTACAAAGGTTTACCACTTAAACTGATTTCAGGTACTGATTATTTCTTAAGATTACACTGGCAGTGAGAGCAGAAAGAATGAGCTTAATAAAGGGAAAGGGAACTCACACTCTTTATGTTTTTCCAAAATGATTTTTTTCTAGGAAAGCCACATTTTCTGCAACAGTACTCATAACATTCCAGACTGCAGGGGAAGCTCACCCTAATGAAGCAAAACTTACCGTGTCTTTTGAGTGCCAAGAGGAATACAAACCATACATTTCTAAAATATTTATTAAAATATATATATTTTTCATAAGTTACTTACAAGAAAATTTGTTCAGATATTTGAAACAAGGTTACAAAAAATTTTAATGGAGAATAGTTTCATTTTAAATATATTTCCTGGAGTAAAGAACTCATATTCCTTAGAAAAGACATAGGATACTTAATTACCTAACTGTTAATAAAATATTCTTTATATAAATGGGTTATAATCTTTACCACAAAGACATCAAATCTGCATCTACTCATTCACCCTCTCCCTCAGAAAACACCCATTTGCTATAGCATTTCTCTATATGCAATAGCAGCCTCTGCTGGAGAAAGAAAAGAATGCTTGTATTACAAAAAATTAGCTCAAACCTATTTTGAACTGGAAGAATGCAGATCCGTTTCCCACTTAACCACCAATCTAAATTAAAATAATTTTCAAGGTCTTAAAGATGTGCGAGCCTTATCAAGTATATCCTTCCTTATTTTTGGATAAGTTGGATGTGCTTCAAGAACCTGTAAAAACAGAGAGCAAAAAAATAAAAACAAGACAAAAAGCACAAGAACTTGTAATTATCCAGAACTGGAGAACTACAAAACTTACATGTAATGAACATTACAGTTTAGATTTCATTATATTAATACAGCAAATATAATTGCAATTAAAAAATGTTGTGATGAGATGTGACATGAAGATTCATTCATATTACTAGTAATTAGATGAAAACAGTAGTATATGAATACTGCATGTGGAAAATACAACAAATACAATTACTTCCTTAATAGGTCAGTTGCAGAAAACAACTATGTATCAATAAATTAAGATATTTTTAAAATTCAACTATTATACATAATATTTAATGAACCTTTAGAGAATTATTTTTTAAAATATTTTTTATTGATTTCAGAGAGGAAGGGAGAGGGAGAGATAGAAACATCAATGATGAAAGAGAATCATTGATTGGCTGCCTCCTGCACTCAACCCCTACCAGGGACCAAGCCTGCAAACCGGGCATGTGCCCTTGACAGGAATTGAACCCAGGACCCTTCAGTCTGCAGGCCAACACTTTATCCACTGAGCCAAACCAGCTAGAGAATTATTTTTAACCAGCAGTACACATCAGATTTACCTGGAGTGATTTTGGAACATACAAAATTCCAGAACTACTGAGTCTAGAAGTGGGGAGATACTCATTAAAAAAAGACCAAAATCCACAAATGATTCTAATGTATAACCTTATATTAATGTACAACCTTAACCTTAATGTGAACTACTGGTTTACAGAGAGACTCAATAATCAATAGCAATCGCTGAGACCAAGTATTGACTCTAAGGATGCTGACACAGCATTTGGGATAAGGGACATTATGTAGCTCTTTTCTAAGGAGCTTTCCTGGGAGCTTCTAACAATGCTTAATGTAATGTTTTATGTGGAATATCAACAGGACAATGTTCATACAAAGAAACTGCAAATTCTAAAGACATATTTGTCATTTCAGTAAGGAATCACTTAATAGGGGATCAATCACAGAAATGTAATCAAATGACTTCTACATCACAGAAATATCTCTATGTCTAACTTATAAGTCTGAATTCTCTATTAACCAGACTTAGACACAGTCACAGAACTTCTATTCAGAACAATAAAATGATCTGGAGAACCTATAACAATGCTCAAATATCTTCTAATTTAAAGACAATGTTTTATTTCACTTGCTTCTCATCTGGCCTCTTTCTTTAAAATGGAAATAAACGTATAATTTTTCTAAACTTTGAAAACTAATAACTGTCCAGAATGTATTTGATAAGTCATTTAACTAAAATACTACACTCTCTACCGTATTCATATATAGCTTGAAGTTAATTAAAAGTAGGAAATTGTGCATCTAAAAAATTTTAAGAAATCTAAATTTAAGTGTTACCTGGTGACATATGTCAATTGCATCCACATATCTTTTCGCTTTTAAGTAATTAAATGCCAGTTTGTACCCTGTTAAGACAAAAACAACAACCCATAATAATATAGTACTATTTATAGAGCACACTGCTAGTATTGCTCCCTTTTTGCCTCCTCCTTTATGTGCTTACTTATTAGAGAACCTAGAGGCTGGTGACTGCACTGAGACAGACGTGATGAGATAACAGAAAGTGGAGTGACATGAAAGGAGAACAGGTAGGAAAGAAAATGAAGTTGGAAAAAGGACCACAGTGAATACACTTTTGGGTTAGGAGACTGTCATCCCACCAGTGTGATTCTGTAACTTACAGACTACAGTAAAAACTCATCCTAGGACAGTAAATGATAACAGCTATTCAGTTATACAATATAGATTTACTCAGCACTAAACCACCAGGCAGACTGGTTCCTACAGTCATGAAGTTTACATCCTATGTGGAAAGACAGCACATTATTAAAACAATTATGTAAGTGAATGAATAATTTCAAAACTGAGATAGATGCTATGAAAGAAAGGTACAGGCCAAATGAGCTATAATGAGAAACCTGGTAGGGGAGAGGGTGGTGTCAGGCAATGTTTGAAATCTGAAGGAGGCATAAACTGAGCCAAGAGGGTGTGAAGGGAGACCACTTTCAGGACGTATAAAGAACACACAGGAACCAAAGGGACCTAGAGGACGTGGTGAGAGGGCAGAGCAGGTGGGAGAGTGGCCCAGAACAGAGTAGATTAGTCAGCAGATATCCCACATTATTGATGAGTAGCAATTATCACAATTACTGATACCGAAATGTCATGTTTCAAATGGCGAAAATTTAGGAAAAAGTGTTATTTAAAAAAAACATTATTTTTTAAATTTATTTTTACTGCTGAAAGTATTACAACTATCACCCCTTTTTCACCATTGACCCCTCCATCCTGCACCCGCCCCACCCCCAGGCCTATACCACACTACTCTCTGTGTCCATGCGTTATGCTATGCATATAAATTCTTTGGTTAATCTCTCTGCACCCACCCATGCCTTTCCTCTGAGATTTATCAGCCTGCTCTTGGGCTCTAGTCAAAGTACCAAAATACAGTTTCAGAATTTCAAAATATGTTTGAAAAAAATAACTGGCTAATGTAGTCACATATGAAAGTGCGCACACGCACACATGCAGGCACACACAGAACTGTCCTAGATGCAACAGTAAGCTTCAGAGAGGTAAACTTGGTATCCTTACAAAGAAATTCTAAAATGGACTATTAAAGAGAGTTTGTGACATTTAAAATGGAAAACAATTTAAGATGCCATGCCAAACACACTTTACATGGAAACTAGAGCCCAAAACACCTAGATTTAACTTCTGACTTCCTGACTAGGTTTGAGACCTTAGCCAAGTCATCTGAGCTGTCCATTTCAAGCTTCCTCATCTAAAAAATAGGATAATAATTTTTCGCTCTTAGGATAATTTTAAAAACAAAAAAGCTTTAAAAAATTTTAGAGCACCACAGAAATACTTGCAAAACTTTTTTTTTTCTGTGAAAATACTAAATTAGAAGTACAAAGTTTTAATGTTGAAAGAAACTTGATAGGTTACCTTGTTAAAAATTTTTAGAAAAAAAAACAAAGGACTAAAAATGGCACACACACACAAAAATGGAAGCTGCATTAAACCTGCTAAGCTTATAAGAATTCAACCTTCTATAATTAGGGGAAAAACGGGAGAGAGAGGGAGGGAGAGAAAGGGGGAGAAAAGAAGGGAGGGAGGGTAACACAAATGACATGAACAGCCTAGTGACTGTCAGATAACCTGGGAATGGGTGTGAAGGAAAAACATGAATGTGTTCTTCTCTCGTTGGATCTCACTTCCGGGTGCCCTTCCTGGTGACAACACTGAAGCATGAATCCCATGGAAAGAATATGACCACATTAAGGATAGCCTGACAAATAGAAATGTGGCCTGAATTATTAAGATGGCAGGCAGGTTGGAGGAATTGGATGCAATGACAATGCTAAGGAAGAAACTGAAGAATTAATTGAGAGCCTCTGAGAAATGTTTACTCAAGAAGTCTAAAAAATACAAAGATGGCACAATGAAAGAACTAAGGAAAAGTTTGAATCTTAGGAAATGATACTTAATAAACATTAGTAGCTAATAATTTATTGTGAATATAAAATTTATTCTTCAGAAGGACTGGCAAAAGAAGTAAGCTCTTAATGTGCATTTTGTTCTTAAAAAAGGAAGTCTAATGCATTTAAATGAATATCTCTATATTTAAAAGCCTAAGTGACCGAATGGCCGGTTGACCCATCGCTATGACACGCACTGACCACCAGGAGGCAGACGCTCAACATAGGAGCTGCCCCTGGTGATCAGTGTGCTCCCATAGCCAACCTCCCATGGCCGGCCAACCCTCCTTCCCCCAGACCGGCCCTGATGGGCCCCGATTGCCGGCAGACCAAGGAACCCCACACGTGCATGAATTCATGCACCGGACCTCTAGTTTACAAATAAAACCCAGGTTTCCTGTAAAAACCTAGTGTCTAATTTGTTAAACTCACCTATTGCTGGATTTGTCTGATTGCCATGTTTCCATGCCATCTCATAGTTTAAGGCAGCATCTGTATACGTTTGCTCTTTTTCCATTATGTAGCCCATATATTCATAAGCTTTGCAGCAAGACTAAAGAAAAATGGAAGTTGTATCAATAAACTAAGCTCCATACCACTAAGATTTTATGAGGTGCTTATGACCATAGAGGTCACCCATATTAACTAATTTATATGGCACATAAAACAATGGTTTTCAACCTCATCTACACAATCAAATAATCTAAAGAATTTAATAAAAGATTCTGAGACCAAGCCCCCACCTCAAACCTGGAATCAGAATTTTTGGGTGAGAAGGGGATTTGTATTTTGTTCATATACATGAAAACATTTTATTGTGAATAATTTCAACACACAAATATAGAAATGACAGTGTAATGAACCCTATGAATCCACATCTTCAACAATGAACTCATAGCTAATACTGTTTCACCTCTATCCCCTACACTTGTCCTTCTGTATTATCAGATAAACACTCAGATATTGTCATTTCATCCATAAGTATTTTATTATGCTTCTTTAAAAATAAGAACTTTCTTTAAACATAACCACGAACCACGAACCACAACTTGTCACACCTAAATGTAACAACTTGACATCACCAAGTATCCAGTGACTACTGAAATATCAATGGCCTCAATATAATTTTTGTTTGTTAGGATGAGAATCAAAATAAGGTTCACTCATTGCCATCTGACATGACAGGATGGCCTAGTGTCATTTTGTACATTTCCTGTCCTAGATTTGGATGATCTCCATTTTTAAATTACATAATTCAAGATTTCTGAGGTCTAGCTCCTGAGTCTTATGCTTCCAATACTGACAAGCCTAACCAGCAGGGCTGAGCCTCTACAGTAGCCATCACCTTCAATGATGCAATGTACTGCTGTCAGTGTTCTGGCAAACTGGAACTCTTGGCATGAAATCAGCCATTTGATAGTTTTACTTTTTCAAAGCTTCTTAATGAGCACTCTCTTGTTTTTCAAGGCAACATAACTTAAACTTAGATGTATAAATTATAAGTTGATAAAGGCTTGATATTTTAGGTTTTTAAAGTTCCTAAGAAAATAACTGAGTAGTATCAAGTGATCTCTTTAAAAAAAAATGATCCATTTTGTAATTTAATTTGCTTGAAGAGAATAAAACATTGATTTTCTGTGATTAAAGATTTGAAATAACTGATATGAATGTGTAAAGATAATTATCTCCAAGTTTCTAAGATGAGTACAAATATGTCTAAACAAATAGTAAATTCTTAACTTTAAAAAATGTTTTATTGAATAAGACATCCTTTTTGTGTATGTGTGATTAAACACCAAAATGCACTGTTAAGTAAAGAGCCTTAATTCTAAGGATTTTAAGATTTTCAATTTCATACCTAAAGATAAGGACTGCCCTGACCGGTTTGGCTCAGTGGATGGAGCGTCGGCCTGCGGACTGAAGGGTCCCAGGTTCGATTCCAGTCAAGGGCATGTATCTTGGTTGCGGGCACATCCCCAGTAGGCGGTGTGCAGGAGGCAGCTGATCGATGTTTCTCTCTCATTGATGTTTCTAACTCTCTATCCCTCTCCCTTCCTCTCTGTAAAAAATCAATAAAATATATTTTTAAAAATTTAAAAAAGATAAGGACTTATTAAACAAATCGTATTAAATGCTGAAAAGACTTTTCCCCACAAAGTATGTTATACACAGTGGATTCTGATTCTGTGGGAAGCCATGCAGCTGCAGCACAGTCATCGAGTATTTCTTAACAGGAGGGATGGATGCCTGCAATTAATTAATTCTGCTATTTTCATCAGTTCTGAGATGGCATGGGCAATCACAGGCAAATACTTGACATTCCAAAACACTGTCTATAAGTAGGGCATACTACAGCTGAAAGTTAAAACTGTATAAATGTGTGTTTTTTATATTTATTTTCAAGGGCAAATGGTTTCTTTCTTATTATTAATGTTGGTTTCCTGATTGTGGTAAGAATAAACACTGAATTTTCAAAACACACACACAGGAATCCTTAGAAATGGACCAACACTCTATAATAGCCTATTATAGAAGGCTTATACAATAAAGGTTAACAATGATTGTTTTACCCCTCAATTGACTACCTTATTATGATGCAGGCATCGCTTTAACAGTTCTTCTGCCATGTCGTATTTGGCCGACTGAATATAAATATCAGCAAGTAGCAGCCAGCTCCTCTCAAAATCCTCAGCATCAACAGGATTCCAGTTCATTTTTGCAATCCGCTTCAGCTGGTTTCTGGCTCGTGGAGTCTGTTTCAGGATCATATAAGCTGTTGCCATTCCCAAAAGTGCTGGAATATGATCCTTCTGTAAGAAAACCAAACTTTAGACCCTCAGATACACAAACATAAGTAAATGCCCTATATTTAAAAGGAAAACACATGGAAAGTAGCAAGTGCCATATAATATGGATTCTATTTCTGGCTCCACACAGATAACTGTCAGAGGGTCATGAATTAACACATCAGGTAAGCTCACCCTACCATGTAGAAGCTGGGTGAGGTGCTGCTTGGTTAAGATAATTCAATAAATTTGCAGATGCCACAACCACACAATCCCAGACAATTTGGGTGACTCAGTCTTTAATGGGATTGCCTGGCTGTTTTGGTTTTGCACAGATACAAGAAAATAAAATCCTATTTCAGTGGAATCCTGACTCAACATTTGCATTTTGACTCCTTCATTCTTTCATCTGTAAAAAGGAATAACAAGCCTTGTCCTCACCCTCACCCCATGTGGCGTAGAGGGGAAAGAAAATAGAGGCCGGCTATGAATTTGTCAGTCAGATCCTAGGACAGCTCACAAAGAGAAGGACCCTGTAAGACTGTCCAGATCTTTTCAAATACTAAACATATCCCCCACTACACATTTAAAAATAAACCCTCTGATTTTAAAATCACACACCAAGTTTGATTAGAATGAATAAATTCCTCACAGCTTGATCACGGCTGAGTGAACCCAATAATAGTTTCTAAAACTGCAAATCTGCCCTGGCCAGTGTTGCTAATGGTTACAGCATCGGCCCTTGCATCAAAAGGCCTGATTCCCAGTCAAGGGCATGTACCTGAGTTTTGGGTTCACTCTCCACCCCCGGTTGAGGCAACCAGGCAATGTGTCTCTTTCACACTGTTGTTTCTCTGTCTCTCTCTCCTCCTCTCTCCCTCCCTTCCACTCTCTCTGAAAAGCAATGGAAAGAATATCTTCAGGTGAAGATTAACAAAAATAAAACTGCAAATCTGAGTTATAACCCCGGCCTCAGCCCCAAGATGTCTCTCTGGTGCAGACATCCTAATGCATTTGGCCAGCTCCCCTCTCTCATGCTCAGCAGCAACATTTTGGATGACAAAGGACAATATAGCTATGTTATCAACAACATGCTTTTATGGTTCAAGGTGATGGAATGAAAGCCAGTGGAAGCACTGCTGTGCTTAATGTTTTTTCCTCCATTTCCTCCCACGATTCCTGTTGCACACCTCTTTTTCAATCAATCTGAATGTTGCACAGTGCTGTGAACATGCCGTTTCCCTGCCTCCCTGTCTTTGTTCCTATTTCCCCTTACCCTGCAATGCACTTTCTCCATCTCTGCCTGTGAAAATGCAATTTATGCTTCTTCTTCTTACATCATACCTTCTCCACAAAAGGGCCTCCCAACTCTACTTATATTGTTTCCTACAGCACTTTTATTTGCAACTCTAGGACAGAATGTCATAAATTTTTTGTACCACAGTCAGTATGCTTACCTCATGGCCCCTAGATTATAAGAAACTTGAAGAAAAGGAGCTATACTTTGCTTAACTTTGTGACTCCCATTGTGCTTAGTACCATACTCACTGGCTGCTTAATCAATATTCATTACAGTTAATATTAGAGGCCCGGTGCACGACATTTGTGCACTGGGGGTGGGGGTGGGGGGTTCCTCAACCCAGTCTGCACCCTTACACAGTCCGGGAGCCCTTGGGGGATGTCCAACTGACCGCTTAGGTCCACTTACGCGGGGAGTGGGCCTAAGCCGCAGTTGGACATCCTTAGCGCTACCACGGAGGTGGGCCGCTGCACTTGCCAGCCATCAGCCCAGCTTGTGGCTGAGCAGGCACTACCCCTGTGGGAGCGCACTGATCACCAGGGGGCAGCTCCTGAATTGAGTGTCTGCCCCCTGGTGGTCAGTGTGCATCATAGCGACTGGTCATTCTGCCATTTGGTCGATTTGCATATTACCCTTTTACTATATAGGATATACAGCCTATGAGTTAAACGAAAAAAGTGCAAGATAAAATTTGTTGCTTATGAAACTTCAGTGCACATACCAGTCTTTGGACAGTTCGGTCAGTAAACAGATTTGAGGAGAGTATATTACTAATCACATATGTAAGAATGAAAAAAAAATATTGTAGTCTCACCTACACAAAAACTGATCGTCTTTCTAGGAAATAGCTGTGATGTCACTTGCTGCTTTTGTGTTCTTTCTCAGATCCCACAGTTTAAACTCTGATTACATTCAGGGATGGGGAACCTTTTTTTTTTGCCAAGGGCCATTTAGATATTTATAATATCATTCACAGACCATACAAAATTATCAACTTAACAATTAGCCTGCTATATTTATCCAAACTTTTAATTAACTCACCCGTAATGCCTTAGTAGGGCCAGACCAAATGATTTTGTGGGCCTTATGTGGCCTGCGGTCCAGATGTTCCCCACCCCTGCATTACATGCTAGGATGCTCCTTCACATTTGGTGGCTGTGACACCTTACTTGAAATGGTGCTTCATCATGTTCTTACACATTTTCTTGGTCTGACATGACAGTCCTATTTCTGGTCTCAGTTCAGTCAGCCACTGTCATCACCTGCTGCCTCACAGCCAATTCCAATGAGCGCAACCCCAGGGAACATTACTTCAATGGCAGCAGAAGGCTCTGCTCCAGGATGGGGCTGCTGCTGATGCTATCTCGCTGTCTGTTCCAAGGGTGGCTGAGATGGTAATACAGTGCCACCTAGGACACTTGGAACCAAATAGCAAATGGGGCTATGGGTTTCCCCAAATCCCTTCAAGGTCTGGGAGGCAGGGGGAAAGGGTCACAGTGGGGGTCCTTGGTGGTTTATTGTTACCACAGTGACTTCTGAACCACAAGAAAACACAGCAAAACTCTGTAAATCTTATGACAGATACAAACTTATGAGTGGCCTGCAACATTATCGAGTGAAGAACATGAAACCTAATGAGTATGCTTAGAACTAGTTATTACCAACTGCTAATGGGGTGGGTGCCTAGAGTTCCTTCCTTAATATCAAGTAATTAAAGAAATACAGTACCATTTGAGGAACGGAAAATAGAACACCAGAGAATGAGAAGGACGGTGGGTCTGAGTGGGGAAAAGAGGAAGCCTTTAATATAATAATAATAATAACAATAATAATAATGATGTAGGAATTATTTCAGTGTTGCTAGAGATCAATGTCGTTATTTGCATGATACAGGTTGTCAGTATTGATCTCACTTAGCCTTACATTTGGAAAATTTTCAAATTCACGTAAGTGAAAAGGTGAGCAATGCAGGCAGCCAGGTGTTTATTTTCCCTTAGTAACTTAAGCTAGGCTACATCAACAACACAGGACTTCTCCAGGGATAAAGCTGTTCCCTTGAGAATTAATTTATGCCCTTTTGAAGAATTTCCTTTCTCCAGAATTCACCATCCTGACAGTGATAAACACATAAAAACAGTGACAGTGTCTCTCTGGAGACAAAGGTACACTGTGTCAATTTATGCCAAACTATATACCTAATTAAAAAAAATTGAATTTTATAGAGAGAAAGGAAGGGAGAGGGAGAGAGAGAGAAACATTGATGTGAGTGGAACATTGAATGCCCCTTTCCGGGAATTGAGCATGCAACTTGGGCATGTGCCCTGACTGGGAATCAAACCAGGGACCCCTCAATGTGCACTGGATAATGCCCAATTAACCAAACCACACGGATCAGGGCTATATGTCTAATTTTTAATACTAGTAAGTAATTAATTCAATTTTCAGAAAACAAACAACTAATCAAAACACATATTTCTATACCATCATCTATATATATAAAGGCCAAGCGACCGGAATGACCAGGAGGCTGGCCAACCTCCTGCAGCCCCTCCCCCCCACCAGCCCAGCTCCCTGATCCCCCCCTACCCTGATCAGGGGTGGGGACGGCCGACCTCCCATGGTCCCCTCCGGCCCCCGCAGGTGGACTGGACGCCCCCCATGCACAAATTCGTGCACCAGGACTCTAGTAGAAACATAACATAAGAAGTTGAAAAAGAAGATCTACGAACCTCAGATGTTGCTATTTCGGTGAAGGTATTCAATGCTTGCTCAACATTAGATTTCTGCTTGGTAGCCATCAGGCAATAGTTCTCCAGTACTCGAAGCTGTACGTGACCCTCAGCAGTCTGAGGTTTTAGTTCTTTAAGGAGTTTTTCTGCCGTTCTTACTGCTAATTGCATAGACTCTTGCTTCTCAGTTGAATTACTGTATTCAATAAAAAATAAATCTCTTATATCTGCTACTCACAAAGTCAAATTCATTGAGAATGAAATGAGATTTAGGGTACATATGGTTTCTTTTTTTGTCATCAATTTATAAGTAATCCTTTTGAAGAATGTCACTCATTTTCTTCTAGTACAAAGCACAGTTATAAAGTGTTTTTTAAACAAAATTAATATAGATTCAAAAAAATACCATTAAACATTTATTCACTCTAATGTGAAGATAAAATTTGGACAATACATGTGGTATTATCATTCTAGCTAATATAAAACTAGAATTAAGAATAAGTAGAATTATCCTATTATCAGTGGTGTATCTATTCAGAAAAAGAAAAGAGGCAGCAAAAAGTAACTAACATCACTGAAGCACCTACTATGTGTTAAGCACTGGATTATGTCATTCAATCTATGTTGAATCCATTTTATATGTGAGAAAACTAAGGCCTAAACAGGTGAAATAATTTGTCAAAGGTCACACAACTAATAAATGGTAAACCTGGGATTTGAATCTAAGTTTGTCAGACATATAAAAAGTCTATTTTATTTTCCTCATTCAGTTCCTTATCAGATGCTTAGAAACTATATATCTGTCAAAGGGTTGTAAATTTTAAGTGCAATGACAGTTTAAATATGTACTAGCATTTTTCTTATTTTTTAAACACATATCCACACCCAGCTCGCTCTCTCTCTCTCTGTGTGTG